CCAAGAGGGGAGCGGGTGCCCCGCCCGAGAGGACCGCTCCCGGCCCGGCCCCGGCCCGGCTCAGCTCCGGGGGGCAGCCCGCACCGGCCGGCGGGGAGGAGGGAGGGCGAACGGCGCCCGCAGCCCCCGCCCCGGGCAGCTCCACCGGCCGCTCATGGCACGGCGTGTCCGAGTCTTGCGCGGGAAGGGAAAAACAGCCGGAAGGAGATTAGTACAGTGAGGTCCTTGTGTGCACAGAAAGTGCAAAATAACGTGCACCCGGGGAGTGTGAAGGGTCACGATGTATCCGATCAGCTTACATACACGGGCACACCAGCGCTTTGCTAGTCTTAGACGGGCTAAGACAAAAATTCTTAGGAGTGGCTTGTATTACAAAAGCAGGGCGGTACCAGCTACATGGCAGCAATCCTGAATGTCCTTCTGCAGGCTTACACTTCAGATTCTCCAGCACAAGATTCACCTAAAAATGAAGGCAGTCCACCCCCCATGCAAAATACAAAGCAATCGTTGCTAGAACATTAGAATCAAAAACTCTGAAAACCAGCTTCTCCTCTCATTACTTACTATGACCTAGAAGTTTAGAATTTGCCTTTCAGAGCTATAAAAGTGTTTTGGACTTCACTAACAATTCTGCAAAATAAGCTGTCTCTGGCTGTGGTGGGCATGAGGCATCAGCCCCGAGCCTTTTCCTCTGCTGTGTCAAGGTCCCTCTTTTTTTATAGGAAAAACGCCAAGCTTTTTACTGCCTACTGCTTTCCTACCAGTGTCCCAAACTTTTGTGAGTTCCAAATGGAGGAACAGATATGTATTACCTTCTGAATGTCTTCAGTCATTGCATGGTCTGCAGGTTTGCCCTTCTGCCTTCACTGAACTTCTCAATAGCACTTGTTACTGGAAGACCTCAAAAGCACAGACATCATTATTGTTACTCGATTTTGCAGATGGAGAAATACAAGAATGTATAAAGACCTGCTGCATCTTGCTAGGCAGAACAGTATCAGCAGATACCGGTCTTTGAGTCCTAAATCAAGACCCCATGTCTAAGCAACACTAATCCAAGCTCAGAATGCCTCATGAATTTACATGTTATCCTTGTATGTTTTAGTTCTTTTCTTTGAACAGCAGATAATAGGTGGAACAGATTTGCCTAGATCATTCACCATGTGTCTGAGCTGACACAGGGTGTAGGATGTGGAGCATCCTGTGTAGCAACTGAGCAGTGCTGTTGCATATCACTTTCTGCCATGTCCTCCTCACTGATCTGATCTCTGTTATAAATGCAGTTAACTTGAATTCTGATTGCATTCCCCCACCATGCATTCAAAACTGAGCTACCAAAAGAGCTAACTTAAGTGTCCCACCTCTTCCAGGGCTTCCGGGATGGGGGCAGAAATCTCTATGGGTGTTAGAAATATTAGCATTCCCTGATTGAGGTACTGTTCTATGTACATCTCTAAACCATTTACCCTTTATTGCTCTTAAGGTGTGCTTCCTTGTCAGTATTATGAAGCCCTTTACAATCAACAAAGTGTTGCTGTATTTTTTAGAATATGACTGCTACAAGTATAGAAGAGGTTTACTGGTGGAATATTTCTGCTTGTTTTGTTGAGTTTGTGCTTTCGATCATGTGTAGTACTCAATTTCATAAGTTCCTGAGAATGTAGGAAGGTCCACTCCCTTATGCATGAATAAAATTACTCTTTGGTGAATGGACCTCCAACAAGATCAGCAAGAACATCAGACTGACTGAAAGGCTTGTCAGCCACTGGAACAGGCTGTCCAGGCAAGTGGCCAAGTCACCATGCCTAGAGATAATTAGAAGATGTGGTGCTTAGTGACATGGTTTCATGGAGGACTTGGTGGTGCTAGGTTTACAGTTGGACTTGATTATCTTAAAGGTAATTTCCAACCTAAATGATTCTATGGGTTTATGACTGTGAATGCTAAGACGCTGGCTGTTAATTTCCTTCCTTTTCTTTATTAGAGTCTCCCTCAGTGCAGCTCAAGACAGGGACACTTAAAATGTTGCTATTAAGAAGCCAGTGAAAGGCAAGTTCAGCTTTGGAAGTACCTTTAACTCCTTATTTTGAATTTGCTGTGTTCAAAGTTAGTATCAAGAATTACGAGCAACCACCTAATTAAGCCAAAGTATGCTGAATCTAATGGATAGCAAAAATCCCAGAGTGGCTGCATGATTCCCCTCTACTTATGAGATGTCTGGATTAGAACTAATATGGCAAGTCAGGTTGCTGAACTTCTACATCTGTCTCTCCTAGACTGCTGCCTTTACATTTCTTATTCTGTAATAATTTTGGAATAGGTCTTATTTACTTCATGTATTAGTATTTTTTTAATTTCACCTCAGCTTTTTTATTACTAATAGCTCAGGAGAAACTTAGCAAGAGCAAGAAATATGTTTATACCTGAAAATACTGCACCTAATAATTTGAAGAGATCCACCTCTGAAAATTTAAAGATTTATGAGAGAGACTTGTATCTAGATAATTAATGTTCCCTAGGAGTGCTCATTTGTCGAAATTGATTAGAGAACAACTCTTCTGACCTATTTTAGACGTGTTTCAGACTTCATGATACAGTTTATCCTAAAAGTGCCTGCTTTTCTCCTTTCCATACAAAGGATGTTTATGTGACATGCTCAGATGTAAATGTCTGTAGTAGAGAGCTCTGAAGTTAGGCTGCTGAATTCCACCCTTTCTTTCTATTTGACAGGTTTAGGTCTTCAAAAGCATTTTATATAGAGAAAATAGTATGCCTCTCTGACTTCCTAGAGGAAAGATACTTGAACAAATACACTGCAGAAAATTACTATCATAAGAGTTGTACTTTTGCTTCCTTCACTGGTTTGGATGGAAAGTGCCTTTTGTGAGCAGTGATAACCAAAAATATTCTGGAGTCTTCACTCCCTGAGGATAGATGGGACTGACATACGCAGTGCAGTCTAAAAGCAATAATGTACTGGCCCCCCCTTGCTGGCATTTAAAGTTTCTCTCCCTTCTGATGGTGATGAAAACGCTCTGAATGCAAGTGGGGGGGCTGGCTGCTGCCTAGCTAGCATTGCTGAGATGTCACAGCTCCTGTTACAAAGGCTTCTCCTATTCAGAGCTATGCTGTCTAAAGCCTCATCAAGTAAGAGCACTGAGAGCAAGTGTCAAAAGCAGGACTGCAGAGGATTTCAAGATTCTGTATCCTCCAAGAGTTGCTTAAGCAAGACAAGGCCGCATAAAAGATACATGAATGGTCATTTCAAGAGACACTGCTGAAAACTGCCCTGCTATTTGAAGACATCTTTTCTGTTTTCACAAGCAACATGTATGATTACTGTCACAGAAAAAGATGAGATGATAGGGAAAAACATTCGTTCTTTCTCTTCCTATCCCACTTCCCCACACACTGAACACTTTCTACACTCCGTTGTGCTGCTTCACTTAAAAAAACACACCAATTTCTCCTTTTTCTCTATGGATAGTTAATCTGTCAGTATAAGGGCTCCAAACTTCCCAAGGCTTCCAGTCTTCTTGCCTAGTCAAAAGACAACAGACCCATCCTCGATACCTCTGAGTTAAAAAAAAAAAAAAAAAAAAAAATTGGCTGGTCAGTCTCACCTCTGTGCCTGGCAAGATCTTACTGAGTTTGCTGCCCCTGATCTGACTCTTGTTAAGTAGTCCTTACAGAAAATGAATTTCATTATGACTGATAGAGTTAATGCATTTTTGGCATCATCAACATAAAATAATTTTATCTAGTCCTCCACAAAGGGAAAGAGTAAAAAAAAGTCTCCTCTCAGTCTCTTCAGTTCAGTCAAAAGCATACACTGGATGTATAATTTGACATGCATACACCAAATGATCCCTGGAGAGTAGTAATGGAACAATAGGTACTGAAGTTCAACATTGCTAATCACAGTGCCAATACAAAGAATTCAATGTAATTTGACAAATCATTTGTAAATCTCTTCTACCTGAATATTGTAATGTCTCCTCTCAGTCTCTTCAGTTCAGTCAAAAGCATACACTGGATGTATAATTTGACATGCATACACCAAATGATCCCTGGAGAGTAGTAATGGAACAATAGGTACTGAAGTTCAACATTGCTAATCACAGTGCCAATACAAAGAATTCAATGTAATTTGACAAATCATTTGTAAATCTCTTCTACCTGAATATTGTAATTGTAGAAAATAATCACAATAAACTGAAGCCCTGAGGCAATGAATATTCTCTGGCACATGGAAAAGGGTATGCAGTGGTGTTGAAAAACCTGGATGTCTACTTAGTGTTGAGTCAAAGCTGGCGTGGGTGCTCAGATGAAGTCACTTCAGTCTGCTTCATAGTGACAGTGATACTCAGAGAATGATGCCACTCTCCAGACTGCCTGGGAAATTGGCAACGTGTGGCTCTGCCTTAGCCAGGGTGAGTAAATACCCACAGAGTATTAACTAGTGCAGGTTCTTTCCCACCTTGTGTATCTTCCTGGAAGATGTCATGCTAGTAAAAGCTGGAAAGCTTTCATAGGCTTCCACAAGCTAGAATTCACTGTGAAAGCACAAATCTCTAACAGCTCTTCCATTTTGTGAAAAATTATCCAGCCTCCCATTCCAAGTGAACACACTATATTCTTGCCCTATTTTATTTTTTTTTCTGGGTCGCGTGCAGTTGCCTGTATCAGAAAGATACTGTTGTAGGTGGATGCACACTAAGGCACGCTTTCTTCAGGAGCAACACAGTATATTAGAAAAATCTAAGGAGATGTGGGAAATTTCTGATTCCATAGGAAAAAATAAAATGTTTAGAAAGATTTAATTAGGACTGTGATAATTTCTGGATTTGTTTTAATGTTATATTCAAGGAACCAGACTTATGGAAGCACTCTAATAGTTCTGGGAGAATTAATTCATTCTGCATTGCTCTTTCATGGCTGGTTGATTCCTAGCCTGTAAAATAAGCATTTTTTTAAACTGAGTAATTTCAAAATAAATCAATACAGTATATGCCTATGTCAGGGCTCAGAAAATTTCACTTAGCTAGAGTTTACTGAATCTGCTGAGTACAAATGGCTGCAAATAAAACTTCCAAGATGCACAGGCATGATAAATATGTATTTCCATAATAGTTATCACGTATTTTTTGAAGATACATTGATCCTTAAGCATTTGATATGGCTTTAAACTGTGGGAATTAGATCTCCTATATTTTTGTAATCCTATTGAGAGACACCATGTCTTAAAAATTGTCATTTAAACACTGTTTGCTCAACTGTTCTTCCCCATGAATAAGATTCCCCCTCTTTTATTTTCCCCTTTTATTTTCTGAAGAAAAGTTAAACAGTTGAATGTACTTTTTTTTTCTGCTTATATCATATATTGATCAACCTGTTCTAAACAATAAAAATCAATAATTTTCCTGTTTTTAAAGAGACAATCTTTAACACTTATGCACTGGAACAAATTTGTCCTTTGAACACTGAAGATATATATTTGAAGTCACTTATAAGAGTTTCAACATAGCTATCTTGAATAACTCTGCCTAGTGATTAAGTTTTAAGTTTTACTCAAAGTAGTTTTAGAGAAGCTGCAATCTAAAATACCTTTAAAAATTAACCAAGTGAGTGTACTGTAAGTCATATTGCACTAGTGCAAGCCAAAGGTCAGTGTCCTATTGTGCTAAATGTTTTGAAAACACATAGAAATTAAAGTTCTCTGAGCCAAACAATTTATGTTTGAAAGGGATGATACATATCAATAAGTGATCCAAGACCAGATTGCTGGGTATCTAAAAATTGTTGCCAACCAATACATTAACTGACTTGGTGCTGTGCCTGAAGAGTGGAAAGAGT